CACACTGCACTGTTGCTGACACATTGCCAGGCTGATCCAACGCACTGCAAAAAGAATCAAAAGTCAAAACTTGGCCGGTCCAGTCCGACTGTCTCAAACACCAAACTGGTTTGAACGGTGCGTTCGTTCGAACTACTTCCACAAAAGACTTGGATGCTTGTGTGGGCTGTTTCTTGTTGGCATCCTGTTTGCGATTGGGAAGCTGCGCAGAAGTGCTAGTAGGATTGGTGATTGGGGCAGAATTGAGCGCTGCATTCCTGTGGCCAAGGCCCGCACCACCATTGTCACCTTCCTGTGTCTTGCGCTCTTTCTTTCTCTTTTTGGGCTTGTTCCCTCCTTTGTTTTTGGAGGTGTCAACAGCTCCAATTTCTTGACCCATCAGAGTGCTAAGTTGTTGAAACAATTTTCCGCTGCCTCCCCCAATTCCCAACAATTGGCAGAGCTGGGTAAGCAGCTTGAGAATTTCTCCTACCTGTTGCAAATTGAAGCCATTAGCTTGCGCATTGCTTTGTTTCTGTTTCCGTCTTCGAGCTGTTGCTCGGCTGCCTGCTCCATTGCCATTAAGGATATGTTGCAAAGCATTTCTGGTTCTGGAAGACACAGCCCAAGTCTTCTGTGGCAAGTCAGTGCAAGCACAACAAGCACACACCACAACTGAACTGTTCGCTTCTGTGCACTGCCTAGGCCTGAAAGCAATGCATAGACCCGCAGCAACCGCGCGGAGGTCGTTCAGGTAGCCGCTCACATAGGTCGGATTGGATTGGATTGGATTGGATTGGAGGAGGACGTCAACCTGCTCCTCACCGAAGTGAAGTAGTTAAGACGCCGAAATTGCCAACGCTGAGCCGGAGCTCTTTGCACTGAACAAACCGGAGGGCAAGTTCAAGTCAAGAAAAGTACCACCCATGCAGCTGAAGAAGCAGCAAATGCTCATTCAAACGACCTGTTTTGACGTGGTTCGTGTTCAAGCAAAACTTGCCAGTAGGGAAGAGAACCCTTTAGTTGCGCCTTCCAAGCTTCTCCAGCCCAAACAACTGCCTCTCTGTGTTGTGACAAACAAGTAGCAATCACCTGCCGAAATTGACCTGTAAGATCAGCCGCGCTAGCATCCGCTTTGGCATTGAGCATGCGGCAACGCAAAACATCAAGCCACCCTTCGGGTGGGCGCCATCGAGGAACTTTATCATGCGAGGGAATCCAAGCACAAGAAGAGCCATCAACCAAAAGCATCCTGATATAATGCCAGTATGGAAAAAGATCTCCACCCCACTGACCAAGCCGCATGCCACGATGAAGACGTTGCACAAGAGCTTGGTTGTCAATCAGCAAGCGCACCGCTCTGTTCGCTTCATGGGAAGCCAAGCAGGCTTGAAGAAGTGCACCTCTCTCGCCCGCAGCAGGAGTTTGCTCGAAACCATGCACCAACCCATTGACCGTGGGCCCAAGATGTGCCGCCACAGCCCAGCTGGCACGCTGCCAAAGTTCGCACCCTGGAGCGATTGCGCAACTTCCATCCAAGCCCAAAGTCGGCGTTTGATGTGGGTCAAACTGTTGTAGAAAAGCCACCAGAATGGGGTCGGCCGTCATATCTTCAAATGGAAGAACAGCTGGAGCATCCACAAGAGGAACAAGCAACCGCCTTTCAGTTGGAGTTTTGAGATCACCATGCCAAGGATTTGCCTCGCAGTAGAAAGTGAAATGCTCACGATCAGGAGAGCTCAAACCACAATCACACTGCAAGTCGACTTCCAAACGTTGAGTAACTCTCCCATCCACTGCTGCACCTGTCAAGACTCTGCGACCACAATAGTTCAAATCATGCGCCACATTGGCCTGGAATTGGAACACAGGCAACTTACCTTCAGGTAAAGGACCTTCCGTTTTGGTGTCCTTCGTCCACATAAAAGCCAGCCATGCTGCAGCAGCAGCTTTGTATAAGCTTGAAGAAGACATCCACCCTGGTTTCAAAGTCCCCACGGGAGTGATCCACAAACCACCCTCAACACGCCAATTCCAGTCTTTGCAAACAGTATTCCACCTTGGGCCTGGCGAAACAGCGGCGGGCACACCCATGGCCAAGCGGCACTGGCGCTGCCATTCAGCCCGGGCTGCAGCAAAGTGAAGCGCAAAAGCAGGATGCAAACGCGGTGTACCCAAAGAGTTCCAGAACAGCAATCTACTGCGACCTGGGGCAGGCTTGCGCCCCCAGACCGCCGCTTCAATACTGGAGGTCCAACTCTTGATGGTATCAACATCATAGTGGTGAAAAGCTCCTGTCCATGCAAACAAAGAGATCACCAACTGTCCCAGCAAGGTCTTGCGGGTGCCCAAACGTTTCGCTGCCAACCTGATTTTGCGACACCTCTCCTGAATGTCAAAGGAAAGCTTCTCTGCATTAACACAAGCACCTGCACGCTCCAAATTGTACTGAATACCCAGAAGCGTGAACTTGCTGCAAGGAGCCCCCAACACGTCCTGTATCTGTGACAGCTGAGGCGTCAAATGTTGCTTGGTTGTGAAACTATTTAACTTGTCAGGATGGAGTTCCATGCCCAGAATTGCATCAACCTGCGCACCTGCCTGCATGGCGTTGGTGACCACGTGAATACCGTTGACACCTTTCTTCCACATTGTGCGGTCATCCAAATAAACTGCAAGAGAAACACGAGGCTCTTGCAAAAGAACGAAGCGCACCCAGACTACCATCACCGCATTGAGTAAGGCTGGGCTTGCCGGGCAGCCCTGCAGCAGCCCCCGCCGAGCACAAATGGGCTCTGAATGGAAAATGCCTTGCCAGGCAAACCACCTGCGTTGGTCAGTGTAAAAATTTTCCACCATGTCACACAAACTGGCCGGAGCACCCAACCAGCGCCAAATAGCAAGCGCAGTCTTTGGACAAACTGAATCGAAACACCTACGGATATCGGCCTTGCAGCCAACAAAATCAACTCTTGAACGTTTGGCAGCACGAATGTCTTCGTAGAGCACTTCATGAACATCCATAATGCCTCTTCCTGGACGGCCGCCACAAAGCTGAGGCAAGGCCCATTCTTGTATCCATGGTCGGAGCTTTTGCAAAGTTGCACTCATGCAGATGCGCCACAGGACCGTCGTGATGGCAAGTGGGCGCAGGCCCCCGGCCGCCTTTGGAATCAAGGCTATACGAATATCTTTCCACATTGTAGGAACTTTCGCACACTGCATGCACGCCGACCACAAGACTGCAACGTGATTCCAAAAGGACTCCGGCAACTTGCACAAATGAGCCGCAGTCCAAGCATCCATACCAGCCGCTTTTTTGTTTAGCTTTCAACGCAGAACGCGCCAAATCAGCCCCAACCACTTGAATGCTTTCAGGCGTGACTGGGTCGACCTGATTGTTGAGCTGCAAACACAAATTTGAAACCTGGTCTAAATGTGGGAGGTGGTCCGGATTCCAATGCGTGTGCCACGCAGCTGCCTCCTGTCTTGCCTTATCTTCAGGCAAAATAGGACCATCGACCTGTGTTGCTGTAGGTGGATCAGGTGGTTTTTGCTGAACCCACTTCCCCAGTTTCGCAACATTTTCTTGAATGTCCTCTTTCCAAGCAGCAAGGCGTCGCTGAGACGCCTTTGTGGCCACCTCATCTGCAAGAAGCAAAGCGGCGGGAGCCAAACCACCATCAGATAAAGAAAACGCAGTAAGAGACGAGTGCAAAAGCGGAGCATCGCGCAACAGCTTGGTTTGCAATTGCGGCGAAGGAGCCTTTTGATATTCGACCACCCGCCGTGCAAATCTTCTCAGCTTTCGCTCCTCCAAAGTCTGCAACGTAGGAGCTTTGGTTGATGGGGGGCTCGCCATTTTGTGCGGGCCGTCCCTTGATGCCCTGCTGGGCTTGCCTTGTGCAAGCAGCAAAGATTCAGCACAGTTGCTCAGGACCACCCAAGCTTGATCCACATTTCCGACGGCCAGAGCATCGGTGAAATCTTGCTGTGATTCTGCCCAAGCAACATTCCAGTTCTCAACCTCCACATTGCAAAGCAAGAGTGGTGCGCTTGCCGGCAATCTCCAAGGCGTGGGTAAGCTACCATGCACATGTATATCGTAAATGACTGCATCATGGTCAGCAACACCTAAAGACTGCATTCTTCCGGAAACAACAACTCTGGGAGTTGAAAGCGCGTAGTCAATGACCACCCCTGTGTATTCACCATCTGAGTTGCGATGGGTGCCAGGGCCAATCTGGTCTCCGCAGACTTGTTCATCGCAAGAATACCATTGCCCCGACGCCAGCGCGGTGGAGGCCGGCCAAACATGCCGTTCCCTGTTGAAATCGCCCACAATGATTGCTTCTTCGCCCAGCATAGCAACGTATTCAAAAATGGCAGCCAAGGCGTGGCCAGCAGCTGTTTGATCGTTGGCATGTAGGTACACATTGATCAGAAGAAGCGGTCGCTGGTGAGGTCGAAAAAGCTTCAGCGCCATGGCACGGTCAGCCGGTGCAAACTGACTTGGAATGGCCAACGCTTCAGCAGGCCACTTTGACAAAACTAACGTCCCGCCAATCACCACATTCTTGGCATCTACCCCTTGGCCGCCAGGAAAAACTTGCCACTTTCGCTGGTTTGCAGCTGACTTGACAGCGCTCCAACTGTCCAATACGTAGGTCGGCCGTCTTGGTAAACATGACAAACAACCAAATACAAAGAGCCAATGACACATGTGGCGTGCATGACTCCTGTATGACTCCTGTATTACACGTATGACATCTCGCTCTTGTCAGCTTTTGTACCCTCTACCCATACAGTTTCTTGGACCACGGGCCTAGTCAGTCTACTAGTCAATGTTTGTCTATGTCAGTCCAATGTCCTATGCATTTCAAGCTGTGAGGCATCTAGCACCGTCAACATTAAGAATATCAATCATCTGCAGTGGCAAATTTTCGGGGAATCCTGTGCCCAAAGTGACTCAGTTGCGTTCTGCACCACATGTCTGGTTGGAAACGACTCAGGATCCTGACTCGATAGTGTCCAACAGCACCAGCATCCGCCCAGCTGTCACTAGATGCGACTCGAAGATGCTCTTCAAATCTTCACTTCCTGTTTTGGTTGCCTCAACTGATGCTGATTTTCACACATGATGCTCCATGATTCTTCCTTCTAGCCCCTGTTTCAAATCCCTCTAAGAGCAATGCGAAGGTGCAAAGATGAAATATGATGCTAGCTTCGAAACTTGTCGACTGCACTTTTTGTCTAAAAAAGGACTTGTAACTTTGCCTCTAACAAGAGACCCTCAGCTGGTAGCGGGCCCCGCCTCCTCCATGATACGGTACTGGTTGTTGCAAAAAAACACATCCATAGGAAGATGGTTTCTGGATCTTCATCAGACTTCTGCAGCCATCCTTCCACAGCACTGACCACATTGGACAAGGAATAGGCCCAGCACCAGGACACAAAGTGAGTGACTTTGCCTCAACACCGATCAATTTGGGGAAGATTTGAAGAGGAAGCACATCATGAAGTCATGGACTGGCGTCCATTAGAAAAAAAACGCGTTGGCACCATGTGCTGATCCCAATTTTCTCCAAATGGCCACTGTAAACATCCTCCACAGCATCCACGATGCTACAGTGCTGCTTCCCATCTCTAGGACATTTCCGGTCGTAGCCCATACCTCGTCAAAATCGCCACTATATTTTCCAACACATTCTTGAGCTAACATGTGACAAATCATGATATTTCATGCATCATTGCTGTTCTTCCCGGCAATCTGGGAACTTTTCATGGCTATACAGGAGGCCATTTGCAGCAAGGGACCTTGCGGCCCATGCGCCAAATGTGGGCAAATTTCGTAGAAATTCGGATCTTCCTTTGCAGCTGCACCTTAGCAACGTGTAACAGCACGCAATTAGTTGAAAAATGTTGAAAATATAATGACGATGCACATTTGAAAAAAATATGCCATTGACTTCTCAGGATGGAACCAATGTCCAATACAAAATGCACTTTCCGTCCATGTCATTTTCCTCTCATTTATGTATGCATTTCCTTCCATTTTCTTCCATTTGTGCATTCATGTCCTTCCATTTTCCTTACATGTCATTTCCTTCCTTTCATTCTTGCATTCATTTCCTTCCATGTTCTTTTCATTTTTGCATTCATGTTGTTTTTTATGTTTCAGTCATATCCTTTCATTTTTGTGCTCATGTCCTTCCATGTTCTTTTCATGATTGCATGCATTTCCTTTCAGTTTCATTTCATGGTTGCATTCATTTCCTTTCATGTTCCTGTCATTTTTGCATTCAGGTTTTTTTGTTTTCTTTTCATGTTTGCATTCAAGTCCATTTTCCTTTCATTGTTGCATTTATTTCCGTCCATTTTCGTTTGTTCATTCATGTCCTTCCATGTTCCCTTCATTTGTCCATGCATTTCCTTTAATTTCCGCAAAAGTTTCATGGCTGTCCAAACATACAATCGCTCGAACTTGGTTGTTCGAACACCAGAGCAACCTATGCATCCCGGCTACAGACTGTCCCCGCAAGCCAAATAGAATACGCCCTTGTGCAGGGCTAAGTCCTTGTTCAGGACTGTTTAATTATCCTAATGTTGCCGCCTGGAAGTGGAAGGAGCGTGCCTTAGTGTTAGTTCCTTTGTCCGGTGTTCCTTCCTCCCAGAATCGGGCGGCAGCCCTTTTTCATTTCTCTCATGGGAATCGGGAAGATATCATACCAATATTACCAATCGTCCAGAATTGCTTTAAGTTGCAGTGAATCAGTATGAAGTCTGCCCAAACCCACATGGACTGCGCCGAGGCGCTCCATGCCAAGGGTGGAAAGACCTCCACCAAGTATGTGGCTCCCACACCCAATGTTGGTGCCTCTGGTGGCAGTTCAGCACAACTCGGGCAAAGATGCACCTGGATCAACGAGTTCAAGACATTTGTGTTTCACAGCCACAAGCTCCTGTCATATAGCACTGACATTTCTTCCATCTCATTTTTTCCCTGCCGGTGTGTGGGTCAGTTTTGTGAAATACTTTCAACGTCCACGCCGTCACCTCATGCAGTGGGCAATGCCAGTGCATGTCAGCAGCTCGGGAGTGTGAACAAGATCTGCACCCTCAGTGTATGGCATGTGAATGGAAGAATTGTATTGCGCGTCTCTCTCACAACCAAAATAGATCACTTGCTGTGGACACAAAAAGTAAGTTGCCATCTGGAACCGCTTGGACAGGATGTCTTTCGACAAGCATATTGATGAATCACTTCTGGTCACATTGATACAATTCACTACCCTTTTCGTGGGTTAGTTGCACCAACTTTGAAGGTCAAGTCAAGCGTCTGTAAGGATTCGAGTCTGCGAGTTCCATGTCGTGGCGACCTTCTATCTGGCATTGGGGTGTGCAAATCCACCTGGCCGTGGCCGGCCCCAGAATTCAAACATGTTGGGTTTGTTACCTTTGATTGGCAGGTCAGGTCTTGGCCCGGCCCCAGACACGGATGTCGGCACATGTGATGTACATGGGACTCTGGCCTAAACATGCCTAAACCAAAGCCAAATCAGTTGGGAATACTCGAAGGAAGTTTGGAGATGAAACTTGCGATATACTGAAAGTATGGCACAAGAAATAGAAAGATCAGAAAGTCAGAAGATCAAAGAGATCAAAAAGATCAAAAAATGCAAGTGCAGAGATCCGCGTGTCTGGAGTCTGAAGGGTAGGAGTTGCGCAAAATGCTGTGTTTTTTCAAAGTTCTGTGCTTCGCCCCGCTCGAGTGGGTACTTCTGAAGAACGGGCGGGCGCGCACAGCTTTCTGTCAAAATCGTTAAAAACTGGCAGGCTCGGAGCACTTTTGGAAGTTAAGATGTCTAAAATTTGCACCCCGTTGTAGCGAGAGAGCGATTGCGAAGTCAGAATCGTTAAAAACTGGCGGGTTCGGAGCACTTTTGGAAGTTAAGATGTCTAAAATTGTGCATCCCATTGTAGCGAGAGAGGGATTGCAAAGTCAAAGTCGTTAAAACTGGCGGGCTCGGAGCACTTTTGGAAGTTAAGATAAGATGTCTAATATTTGCACCCGGTTGTAGCGAGAAAGCGATTGCGAAGCCAAAATCCTCAAAAACTGTGCGCTTTTGGAAGTTAAGATGCCTAAAATTTGCACCCCGTTGTAGCGAGAGAGCGATTGCGAAATCAAAATCCTCAAAAACTGCACACTTTTGGAAGTTAAGATGTCTAAAATTTGCACCCCCGTTTATAGCGGAGTGGGTCGGGGGAGGTGAGGTGAGGCGATGGCGAAGTCAAATCCTCAAAAACTGTGAGGACGTCGGGAGCACTTTTGGAAGTTAAGATAAGATGTCTAATATTTGCACCCGGTTGTAGCGAGGGGAGAACCTGCGAAATCCCTTGTCTCGGGGGGAGGAGAGCGATTGCGAAGTCAAAATCGCTAAAAACTGGCGGGTTCGGGGCATTTTTGGAAGTTAAGATGTCTAATATTTGCACCTGGTTGTAGCGAGAGAGCGATTCCGAAGTCAAAAGCATCAACACACCAGGTGCCCGCGACGTTTTTCAGACTTCAACTTCCATTTGTTGGAGGCAGTCTCCCAGAAATGCTACGTTTTAAGCTATCAACTTCCAGCTTTGAAGGAAACCGCGAATTTCAAGCTATCGACTTCCAGTTTTGAAGGAAGTCTCCCAGAAAAGCTTCGTTTTTAAGCTATCAACTTCCAGTTTTGAAGGATGTCTCGCAGAAAAGTTTTGTCTTTAAGCTATCAATTTCCATTTTTGAAGGAAGCCTCGCAGACGAAAGTTAGTAACTCAGTAAGTCAGTCAGTCAGTCCGTCCGTCAGTCAGTCAGTCAGTCAGCCAGTCAGTCAGTCAGAAGGTGCGAAAGTAAGACAATAATGTCAGTCAGCCAGTAAGTTATTCAGTCAGCAAGTGGGTAAGTCGGTAAGTCAGTGAGACAGTAAGCCAGTAAGTGAGTAAGCCAGTAAGTTAGTAAGTCAAAAGAGCCGTAAGTCAGAGTGAGTAACCGAGTAAGTCACTAAGCCCGCAAGTCAGTAAGCACGCAAGTAAGTAAGGAAGGAAGGAAGTAAGTCCGTAAGTCAGTCAGTCAGTCAGTCAGTCAGTCAGCCAGCCAGTCAGTCAGTAAGTCAGTAAGTCAGTACGTAGGTAAGTAAGTGAGTGAGTGAGTGAGTGAGTGAGTGTGAGTGAGTAAGTAAGTAAGTAAGCAAGTAAGTATGTAAGTAAGTAAGCGAGTACGGAAGTAAGCAAAGGAAGCAAAGGAAGCAAAGGGAGAAAAGGAAGCAAAGTAAGCAAAGTAAGCAAAGTAAGAAAAGTAAGCAAAGTAAGCAAAGGAAGCAAAGGAAGCACAGCCAGCAAAGAAAGCAAAGTAAGCAAAGTAAGTCAGTCAGCAACTAAGTAAACATTTAAGTCAGTCAGCAAGTAAGTAAGTAAGTAATTAAGTAAGTAAGTAAGCAAGCAAGCAAGCAAGTAAGCAAGCAAGCAAGTAAGCAAGCAAGCAAGTAAGTAGGTAGGTAAGTCAGTAAGTCAGTAGGTAGGTAGATAGGTAAATAAGCGACTGGCACATTGTGGGACAAACATCAACCAGAGTTTTGCCATCTTTCAGACCGCCAAGGAATCACACTCACGGACATCTTGCGCGACACACTCCCTCTCCTACACTTCCCTATCCTTTTGAAACTTCCGCCCCGCCTTGTGCGGCACTACTCGTACAATAATTCCCAGTGTTAATGCTGTATCCAAGAAGTCTTACCGAAGTCATGTGCAATTTTTCTCCAAATTATACAGCGGTGTTTTTCAAAACAGGAACGACTTTGTCAGATACCTGTATAACTACGGGGTCTGCACAAGTTCGTACGCGGCACATATTTTATGTTGCTAGTTTGAAAACAAGTGGGAGCATAAGCAAAAAAACTCAACTGCATTCGCACCAACTAGCAGGTCTAGGAACAAACCTGGAAAAACATTTGCTGATACCCTATACTTGAGACTAGAAACATATTTCACGCCAATGCGTTTCTATATCATCCAACAGTCTGCCTGAATTGTTGCCAAGCTGGATATCGATGCTGCGTGCTCCACAGCACCACGTTCCTGCAAAATGTTTTGCAGAGTTGGACTATGAGCTGACAGCGGGCAAAAAATCGATTGAGAAAGGGAAGCTGGACGCCACGTGGGTTCACTTTGAACATGCAAATTCTGAGCCAAAAGGACAAAAGCGAAAAAAAGAAACGGCATTTTAAAAAACGATAAACCTGCAAGACTGTCCTTGAAACGTTATCTACTTTTTGGACTGTTCCATCTTCCCAAGCAAATTGCCGGCATTCCGCTGGCTGAAATTCGTGCTTTCGACCATGCGCATCGAAAGCGGTCTCTGGGACCTGCAAGCACATCTCCCTACAGGAAAAACAGGTCTGTTTGCAAAACGTTTCCATTGAACCAAGCAATTGGCCCTAGATGCAGTTTTGTCGTAAGAAACACATGAAAGGTAGGAGCACTCCTAGCCTAACCGATCACATGGAAGAGGCGCGTCGTTTCTACATTCCTGATAGGGTTCATGCCCAAGGCACTGTGAGTTTGAGCACCTTGCCCCGAGGCCATTCGGCAGTCATCCTGTGAAATCGGGGTTCAGGTCAAACAACATATGTACTTGTGCACCGACGTGTACATTACATGCACATATGTGAGTGGTACGAATGTATACATATGTATACATTGCCTGTGTAAACGCGTAAAGGAGAATATTTTGTATGTATGTATGTCTGTCTGTCTGTCTGTCTGTCTGTCTGTCTGTATGTATGTATGTATGTATGTGTGTATGTGTGTATGTGTGTATGTGTGTATGTGTGTGTGTGTATGTATGTATGTATGTATGTATGTATGTATGTATGTATGTGTGTATGTGTGTATGTATGTATGTATGTATGTATGTATTTATGTATGTATGTATGTATGTATCTATGTATCTATGTATCTATGTATCTATGTATGTATGTATGTATGTATGTAAGTATGTACGTGTGTATGTGTGTGTATGCATGTGTATGTGTATGTGTATATTATGTTTATGTGTATGCGTATGCGTATGCATATGTGTATGCGTATGCGTATGCGTATGTGTATGTGTATGGGTATGTGTGTGTACACGGTTATAACAAACGGTTTGTCTATTCAATTGTGATTCTTCAAAATCGCAGGGGAACTGGGCACTCTGTGACTGACCCGCTTCGGACCTGCCAATTTTCCATTGTATCTGGCAGATTGTACGCCGAGCTCGTTCACCTGCTTTCCTAAAATTCTCAGGTCCATTCAGGCGAGTACAAGCACATCCTGCACACCTTTCACATATCCTAATAAACATTCAGTATGTTTTGGGTGTTTGACCTCAATTGGTCGCACCGTCCACATGGTTTCGACTGTGTGAATGGCTATGAGCGGCGTATTCAGAATGGAGACTCGGTTTTCGATTCTTTGGAGCCGTTTACACTTCGAGTGGAATCCAAGCAGTCTCAACAACTACGTGATAAGCTTTCTTTGAAGGCGTTAAACCGCAGTAGCCACAAAGCGAAGCAGCCACTCATTGGCAGTAGCAGTCTTCGGACAAAGGATGGCATAAGTCGAAGCCGTTCACACTTGGAGTGTAATGCAAGCTTCCCGGGAAGAAATCCTACGATTTGGTTGGCATCTGGCACAATTGTCATGCTTGTCATTGCTGTTGTTTTGTTTGCGCTTGCTCTGTTGGCTGTTGTTGCTCCCCTCCCTCTGCCCTCTTGCTTTCCCCGTTACGGTTGTTTCGTTGGTTTTGCTGTCCGCGTCTTTTGTCTGTTCTCTGCCTTCCCCTCCTGGCTCCCGCCAGGTCCTGCTGGCGCTTCATTGCTTTTGTTGTCATTTTCATCGGGTTACTTCATTTTCATCGGTCCTGATGACTGTTGCTTGTGGGATGCAAGTGGATTGCACTTTTGCTGCATTTTTTCCTTTCTCTGTCTTGGAACAATCAATAAATTTTGATGTGGTTGCTCAGTCAATGGACAGTGATTTTGATGTTGTTGACAACTACCCAGAAACACCGTCGGATCCTCAGCTTTTTCCATATTTCGGTCAGAGATCATGAAGCTATGTCATCAACATCATTGTTATTTGTCTCACCAACGGATGTTCCATTTCGCGTCGCAGTAAAGAAGTGCAAAACCATGCCCCATACATGGGGTTAAGGGATCACTTAGAGCACCGGAAAGTGGATCACTTAGAGCACCGGATCACTTAGAGCACCATGGGATCACTTAGAGCGCCAAAAAAGTGGATCACTTAGAGCACCAGAGAATGAGACCTTTAGGGTAAGGGACATGGGGTGGGTTTAGGGGACACTTGGGGACACTTGTTTAGGGAGAATGAGACCTTTAGGGTAACACTTAGGGGACACTTGGGGACACTTGGGGGGGACATGGGGTGGGTTTAGGGGACACTTGGGGACACTTGGGGGACACATAGGGGACAAGTGGCGACACGGGGCTGGGACACGGGAAGGGTTTAGGGGACCAGCATGGTGGATTACATTAGAGCACCAGGGAATGAGACCTTTAGGTGTACACCATTCTGGACCTTTTTATTATTAGGCAACTCATCCATCTGAGAAATTCCTGCTATTTCTTCGAGAATGTCCTTTTCACACATTTTCAAGCTAAAACTACGTCAGAGCATCTGAAACACGACATTAGAGCGACTTTCTTGTCCACGTTGAGGTCGTTGAACATGCATTTCCTGGCAGCAAGCATATGGGTCGTTGAACACGCATTTCTTGCCAGCTGTTACTGATATGTTGTAAACTCTTCTTCAAGTAACTTGCAAGACGTTCCTGCTACGTTGTAACATCTTGGTCAAGTAACTTGCAAGACGTTCCTGATACATTGTCATATCTTCTTCCAGTAACTTGCAAGACGTTCCTGATACGTTGTAACAAATTCTTCAAGTAACTTGCAAGACGTTCCTGCTAAATTGTAACAAATTCTTCAAGTAACTTGCAAGATGTTCCTGCTAAATTGTAACATCTTCTTCAAGTAACGTGCCAGATGTTCCTGATACGTTGTAAACTCTTCTTCAAGAAACATCCAAGACGTTCCTGATACGTTGGAACAACTTCTTCAAGTAACTTCCAAGACGTTCCTGGTACGTTGGAACAACTTCTTCAAGTAACATGCAAGACGTTCCTGCTACGTTGACACCTCTTCTTCAAGTAACTTGCCAGATGTTACTGATATGTTGTAAACTCTTCTTCAAGTAACTTGCAAGACGTGCCTGACACATTGTATGATGCTCTTTCGGTGCCGAAAAGCAGGTCGCATGGAATGTTATCGCGTGCTTCGGACACATATGAATGCATCCATTTATGTGTCTATATGCCTCTGCGCATGTATGGAACTCCAGCGCTATGTCTCTCTTATGTCACTTTTCAGCGCTCCAAGCGATCCACTTTTCGGCGCTCTAAGCGATCCACTTTTCGGCGCTCCAAGCGAACCCCCGACCCATACATGGGGCCTTTGTGTGTGTGTGTGTGCATACACCGTTATAACAAACGGTTTGTCTATCTAATTGTGATTCTTCAAAATCGCAGGGGAACTGGGCACTCTGTGACTGACCCAGTTCAACGAAGCTAGGTCACAGAGTGGGATATCTGGATTGGCCATCCAGACGGACCTGCCAATTTTCCATTGTACCTGGCAGATTGTACGCCGAGCTCGTGCACCTGCTTTCCTAAAATTCTCAGGTCCATTCAGGCGAGTACAAGCACATCCTGCACATCTTTCACATATCCTAATAAACATTCAGTGTGTCTGTATGATCTGTATGTGCATGTGTCTGTAGCGTCTGTCTGTCTGCCTGCCTGCCTGTCTGTCTGTCACAGTCTGTCTGTATGTACGTACATACGTAGGTACGTAGGTGGATATGTAGGTATGTCGGTATGTATGTATGTACGTGTGTGTGTGTGTGTCTGTCTGTCTGTCTGTCTGCCTGGCTGTCTGTCTGTCTGTATGTATGTATGTATGTATGTGTGGATGGATGGATGGATGGATGGATGGATGGATGGATGGATGGATGGATGGATGGATGGATGGATGGATGGATGGATGGATGGATGTATTTACTGAAAAGCTTCAGGCAGCTGCTGTATCAATGTTGCACTGCAGTGCTTGCGCACTGTTGCAGCAATCTTGCGCTGCGCACGGTGTTTGTCAACGTTGCCAAACTGTTGCCGTAACAGTCGGCTCAAGAAAGGCATCGGCTCAAGGCCTACGTGATGAGCCAGTAACACGACGTATGTGGAGGAACCCTTCCAGCACAATGTTGTACTTTAACACCCCCTCTTGACTGTTGCCCCCATTGTTGGAGCGACAGTTATCACCAAAACAAACATGTCGAGACCGAAAGCGTCTTCACGGCTAAAATGAGATGATCCTGCACACTTTACAACCATGATGTTGACCGAAAGATTTTCTGTTGATCAAATGTTGATCACACTGTTCGGCTCTGTTGATTTGGTCCCTGTTGGCATCAGGAAGTTATCTGAGCTCCACCCTTCTTTGCTGCTCAATAATCACCCTGTTGGTTCTCTTTGGTCTTCATGTTGGCATACATGAAGATCATCAAAGACATTAGACGTGCTTCGGCGTGCGAACCTGGTCGATGCCGCCAGGAAATGGAGACGTCAACTGGACTGGGCATGGGGGACATGAGGGCCTGAACGTGGACGTGGACGTGGGCGTGGTGGGGAACGTGGGAGATGTGGGGGAGGGGGACGTGGAGGACGTGGGGGGCGTGGACGTGGATGTGGACGTGGATGTGGACGTGGGGGACGTGGACTGGACATGGAGGATGATGTGAATCCAGAATCCAGATGAGAACGTGAAGCGCACCAGTGGCATCCTGATCTCCGACAGCAAGAACCTGTTCCATCGTCTCTCTCAGACAATGCTGACTCTCAAGATTGAACTGCTTTGCTTGAAAGAAACCATGGTTTTTAATCAAGGCCTAATGAGGTGGGGAAATGGTGACTCCCAACTAAGTAACAGTTTGACGAACAATGATGCACCTCATCAACTGTTGCTTTTTCATGCCCGACATGGACGGTGGCGAATCGTTTATGATCAGTCCCTCGTGCAGGTAGAAAAAGGAAAAGTTTAGGACTAGGATCCTTGTGAATTTGTTATACCAAATGTGAAGCACCACCTTCGTATCCATCGTTGGAAAAGAGATCGCAGGAACTTGAGCGCACGTACGTACGTACGTACGAATGTATGATGTATGTATGTATGTAGGTATGTATGTATGTATGTACGTGTGTGTGTGTGTGTCTGTCTGTCTGTCTGTCTGTCTGTCTCTGTATGTATGTATGTATGTATGTATGTATGTATGTAGGTATGTATGGATGGATGCATGGATGGATGGATGCGTGGATGGATGCGTGGATGCATAGATGCATGGATGCATGGATGCATGAATGCGTGGATGCACGGATGCGTGGCTGCATGGATGCATGGATGCATGGATGCATGGATGCACGGATGCATGGATGCGTGGATGCATGGTTGCATGGATGCGTGGATGCACGGATGCACGGATGCGTGGATGCATGGATGCATGGATGCATGCATGGATAGGTGGATGGATGCATGGATGCATGGATGCATGGATGCACGGATGCGTGGCTGCATGGATGCATGGATGCATGGATGCATGGATGCGTGGATGCATGGTTGCATGGATGCGTGGATGCATGGATGCATGGATGCGTGGATGCATGGATGCACGGATGCATGCATGGATGCGTGGATGGATGGATGCATGGATGCATGGATGCATGGATGGATGCATGAATGCGTGGATGCACAGATGCGTGGCTGCATGGATGCATGGATGCGTGGATGCACGGATGCGTGGCTGCATGGATGCATGGATGCACGGATGCATGGATGCGTGGCTGCATGGATGCATGGATGCATGGATGCATGGATGCGTGGATGCACAGATGCATGGATGCGTGGATGCACAGATGCATGGATGCATGGATGCATGGATGCATGAATGCATGAATGCGTGGATGCATGGATGCACGGATGGGTGGATGCATGGATGCATGGATGCACGGATGCATGGATGCGTGGATGCATGGATAGGTGGATGGATGGATGCATGGATGCATGGATGCATGGATGCATGGATGCGTGGATGCGTGGATGCATGGATGCATGGATGCATGGATGCATGGATTCATGGATGCATGGATGCAAGGATGCATGGATGCATGGATGCATGGATGCATGGATGCACGGATGCGTGGATGCAGGGATGCATGGATGCATGGATGCATGGATGCGTGGGTGCACAGATGCATGGATGCATGGATGCATGGATGCATGAATGCATGAATGCATGAATGCGTGGATGCATGGATGCACGGATGGGTGGATGCATGGATGCATGGATGCGTGGATGCAGGGATGCATGTATGCATGGATGCGTGCATGGATGCATGGATGCATGTATGCATGAATGCATTAGTGCCTGTATCCATGTATCCATGTATCCATGTATGCATGTATTTATGCATGCTGCATGCTACATGCATCTATTGATCTATCTATCTATCTATCTATCTATTCGAATCTAGTCTAACCTAACCTAACCTAACCTATCTATCTAGCTATTTATCTATCTTTCCTTCTATCTACCTATGGATGTTTGCCAGCCTGCCTGGCTTCTGGCCCATCCCTGTGTCCTTGCATCCCAGGCGAAAAGCAATGGTTTTGCTGTGGTGACAGGCGCCGGCAAAGAAACCCAAGGATTTGAGAAGTGAGGCTCTGCTTCAGCACCTGGCACCAGCACACTGTATAGCATAGCGTGGCTCTGCGGAGCCGTAGTCTGGTCACAAAAAGACAAGTTATCAAAACGAAACTGTCCAGCATGAAAAAGGCGAATCAGTTTTCACCGCACCAGGGATGCCTGAAAAGCCCACAAAGAATGATCTTGATTTCTTCATGCTATCCTCATGATGATTGGGAAGTGCTAAGGTCATTCTCCGGCAATACAAAGCTTCTGTTGACATGCCTTGCCTCGTCGCTTTCTAGCTCGATAGACTCGATAGCGCCATAGAATGCAGAGGGAGGTGAAGAGACATGTGAGCACAATGGGCACCACTACAATGGCCAGCCTTCAGTCAAACTTCAGTCAAAATGGAAGCAAGAAACGAGTAGACATGTTTCTGCACACAATTGAACCTTGATATTGAAATTGACAGCACGTTATTGCAAGCTTCCACGAAGCCCCCCGGAAAACTCAATGCTGCAACACCATTGCTTGACTATGCAGTTTGTTGGGCAGCCAGAAAAAACAATGAGCCGACACAGCTTTACTGAATTTGCAAGTTGTGGAAATGGCAAGCGGCAACGGACTGTCATCATCGTCAGACGATGCACCCTCGGTCCAAGAATTGTTTGAAGCGAGGTTTGACTGATGCATTTCCTCAGCGAGGTGACGGGCCCTGGATATCCCTGGATCATGTGTTTGGCTCTACTGGTAGCTGCTCATTGTCTCGGAGTCTCGGGGGCCTACTGCACCTGCTGTTTCTTGATGTCTTCAATGTCTTCAACAACCGTACAGCTCAAAGAATCTCAAAGAAACAAGAGAATCCAGGACTGCAAGAATATGCAAGAATCAAACAAGGCGGGCTGATTGCCAGAGGTGGACTAATCAAAATGTCTCAGCGACATCTATCTGGGACATCTATCAAAATGACTAGCTCTGTCCAAGCGTCTATCTGACTCAGCGACAGTGGCCTCAGAAGGGTCGCCATGATCCATCTGGGAAGTGTCCCATCCGGGCTTGTAAATCTAACAGCTGTCTTCCAATAATCTGACCACCATTTTAAGCTGCAAGAATGTCTTCATGTGAATGAAACTCTCTTAGCTCTATGAGAATGTCTATAAGAAATCCATGAATGACCCTTCATGCGCAACTCTGGACTTGCAAATCTGCCTAGTGTTTTATTCCATTCTATTTCTATCTATAAGAGCCTGTGTGTCCCGACTAATCTGAACACCATCTAACAAAACTGGCGGTCACCCAGTTCCATTTGAAGCCCAGAAACTTATCTCCGAAACCTGTGGATCCTTCTTGGAACAAGCTCGCTGCAACAACCTTGGGTAGGGTGCAACATGCCTGGTATGTTCTACCAACCACGTCCTGCGGCGAGTCCCTTGGAAGGTAGCCCTGTGGACACAGAAAGAGCTCACAACTCTCCTCGCAGCATGCATCGCTACTTCCAACGATCTCCGGTGATGCATTTGTTGCAACGTAGCCCTTTGGACATGAAAAGACTTCGCAACTCTCCTCGCAGCATGCATCGCTACTTCCAGCGATCTCTGGTGATGCATTTGTTGCAACGTAGCCCTGTGGACATGAAAAGAGCTCACAACTCTCCTCGCAGCATGCATCGCTACTTCCAGTGATGTCTGGTGATGCATTTGTTGCAACGTAGCCCTGTGGACATGAAAAGAGCTCACAACTCTCCTCGCAGCATGCATCGCTACTTCCAGCGATCTCTGGTGATGCATTTGTTGCAACGTAGCCCTGTGGACATGAAAAGAGCTTGCAACTCTTCTCGCAGCATGCATCGCTACTTCCAGCGATCTCTGGTGATGCATTTGTTGCAACGTAGCCCTGTGGACATGAAAAGAGCTTGCAACTCTTCTCGCAGCATGCATCGCTACTTCCAGCGATCTCTGGTGATGCATTTGTTGCAAGGTAGCCCTGTGGACATGAAAAAAGCTTGCAACTCTTCTCGCAGCATGCATCGCTACTTCCAGCGATCTCTGGTGATGCATTTGTTGCAACGTAGCCCTGTGGACATGAAAAGAGCTTGCAACTATCCTCGCAGCATGCATCGCTACTTCCAACGATCTCCGGTGATGTATTTGTTGAAATGTAGCCCTGTGGACATGAAAAGAGCTTGCAACTCTTCTCGCAGCATGCATCGCTACTTCCAGCGATCTCTGATGATGCATTTGTTGCAACGTAGCCCTGTGGACATGAAAAGAGCTTGCAACTCTTCTCGCAGCATGCATCGCTACTTCCAGCGATCTCTGGTGATGCATTTGTTGCAACGTAGCCCTGTGGACATGAAAAGAGCTTGCAACTCTTCTCGCAGCATGCATCGCTACTTCCAGCGATCTCTGGTGATGCATTTGTTGCAACGTAGCCCTGTGGACATGAAAAGAGCTTGCAACTCTTCTCGCAGCATGCATCGCTACTTGCAGCGATCTCTGGTGATGCATTTGTTGCAACGTAGCCCTGTGGACATGAAAAGAGCTTGCAACTCTTCTCGCAGCATGCATCGCTACTTCCAGCGATCTCTGGTGATGCATTTGTTGCAACGTAGCCCTGTGGACATGAAAAGAGCTCACAACTCTCCTCGCAGCATGCATCGCTTCTTCCAGCGATCTCTGGTGATGCATTTGTTGCAACGTAGCCCTGTGGACATGAAAAGACTTCGCAACTCTCCTCGCAACATGCATCGCTACTTCCAGCGATCTCTGGTGATGCATTTGTTGCAACGTAGCCCTGTGGACATGAAAAGAGCTTGCAACTCTTCTCGCAGCATGCATCGCTACTTCCAGCGATCTCTGGTGATGCATTTGTTGCAAACGTAGCCCTGGACATGAAAGAGCTTGCAAACTCTTCTCGCAGCTGCCATCGCTACTTCAGCGATCTCTGTGATGCATTGTTGCAACGTTTAACGCCCTGTGGACATGAAAAGAGCTTGACAACTTCTTCCGCAGCATGCATCGCTACTTCCAGCGATCTCTGGTGATGCATTTGTTGCAACGTAGCCCTGTGGACATGAAAAGAGCTTGCAAACTCTTCGCAGCATGCATCGCTACTTCCAGCGATCTCTGGTGATGCATTTGTTGCAACGTAGCCCTGTGGACATGAAGAGAGCTTGCAACTCTTCTCGCAGCATGCATCGCTACTTCCAGCGATCTCTGGTGATGCATTTGTTGCAACGTAGCCCTGTGGACATGAAAAGAGCTTGCAACTCTTCTCGCAGCATGCATCGCTACTTCCAGCGATCTCTGGTGATGCATTTGTTGCAACGTAGCCCTGTGGACATGAAAAGAGCTTGCAACTCTTCTCGCAGCATGCATCGCTACTTCCAGCGATCTCTGGTGATGCATTTGTTGCAACGTAGCCCTGTGGACATGAAAAGAGCTCACAACTCTCCTCGCAGCATGCATCGCTTCTTCCAGCGATCTCTGGTGATGCATTTGTTGCAACGTAGCCCTGTGGACATGAAAAGACTTCGCAACTCTCCTCGCAGCATGCATCGCTACTTCCAGCGATCTCTGGTGATGCATTTGTTGCAACGTAGCCCTGTGGACATGAAAAGAGCTTGCAACTCTCCTCGCAGCATGCATCGCTACTTCCAGCGATCTCTGGTGATGCATTTGTTGCAACGTAGCCCTGTGGACATGAAAAGAGCTCACAACTCTCCTCGCAGCATGCATCGCTACTTCCAGCGATCTCTGGTGATGCATTTGTTGCAACGTAGCCCTGTGGACATGAAAAGAGCTTGCAACTCTTCTCGCAGCATGCATCGCTACTTCCAGCGATCTCTGATGATGCATTTGTTGCAACGTAGCCCTGTGGACATGAAGAGAGCTTGCAACTCTTCTCGCAGCATGCATCGCTACTCCCAGCGATCTCTGGTGATGCATTTGTTGCAACGTAGCCCTGTGGACATGAAAAGAGCTTGCAACTCTTCTCGCAGCATGCATCGCTACTTGCAGCGATCTCTGGTGATGCATTTGTTGCAACGTAGCCCTGTGGACATGAAAAGAGCTTGCAACTCTTCTCGCAGCATGCATCGCTACTTCCAGCGATCTCTGGTGATGCATTTGTTGCAACGTAGCCCTGTGGACATGAAAAAAGCTTGCAACTCTTCTCGCAGCATGCATCGCTACTTCCAGCGATCTCTGGTGATGCATTTGTTGCAACGTAGCCCTGTGGACATGAAAAGAGCTTGCAACTCTCCTCGCAGCATGCATCGCTACTTCCAGCGATCTCTGGTGATGTATTTGAAATGTAGCCCTGTGGACATGAAAAGAGCTTGCAACTCTTCTCGCAGCATGCATCGCTACTTCCAACGATCTCCGGTGATGTATTTGTTGAAATGTAGCCCTGTGGACATGAAAAGACTTCGCAACTCTCCTCGCAGCATGCATCGCTACTTCCAACGATCTCCGGTGATGTATTTGTTGAAATGTAGCCCTGTGAACATGAAAAGAGCTCACAACTCTCCTAGCAGCATGCATCGCTACTTCCAACGATCTCCGGTGATGTATTTGAAATGTAGCCCTGTGGACATGAAAAGAGCTTGCAACTCTTCTCGCAGCATGCATCGCTACTTCCAATGATCTCCGGTGATGTAGTTGTTGAAATGTAGCCCTGTGGACATGAAAAGACTTCGCAACTCTCCTCGCAGCATGCATCGCTACTTCCAACGATCTCCGGTGATGTATTTGTTGAAATGTAGCCCTGTGAACATGAAAAGAGCTTGCAACTCTTCTCGCAGCATTCGCTAGGGTTGCCGTACAAGTGCGGGGATTTGCTTTCTTGAATGTACCCTGGTGGACATGCGAAAATCTGGCAACTTAACTCGCAGCATGCGCTGGTGCTGCCGGAGATCTGGGGGGATCTATTGTTGTGAATGTAGCCCTGTGGACATGAAAAGAGCTCGCAACTCTCCTCGCAGCATGCATCGCTACTTCCAACGATCTCCGGTGATGTATTTGAAATGTAGCCCTGTGGACATGAAAAGAGCTTGCAACTCTTCTCGCAGCATGCATCGCTACTTCCAACGATCTCCGGTGATGTATTTGAAATGTAGCCCTGTGGACATGAAAAGACTTCGCAACTCTCCTCGCAGCATGCATCGCTACTTCCAACGATCTCCGGTGATGTATTTGTTGAAATGTAGCCCTGTGGACATGAAAAGAGCTTGCAACTCTTCTCGCAGCATTCGCTAGGGTTGCCGAACAAGTGCGGGGATTTGCTTTCTTGAACGTACTCTGGTGGACATTCGAAAATCTGGCAACTTAACTCGCAGCATGCGCTGGTGCTGCCGGAGATCTGTGGGGATATATTGTTGTGAATGTAGCCCTGGGGACATGCGAAGTTTTTGCATGTGGTAATGGCTGTGGTTGTAGTGGTACTGCCGCTGCTGCTTGATGTGGTGGAAGTGGTGAGAGCGTTGGTCTGTGAGCTTTCCGATTGGTTGCTGCCCACCTGCACTGCAGAAAGGTGATGCTGGGGATGAAATGCCGGAAATGTAGAAGGAGATTGGGGGCCTAGCACTGACACCAAATCACTGGCTTCAACTGGAAAACAAGCGGTTTAGCTTGTGCGCTTCACTTTTCACACATGCAAAAGCGAAGGTTACAGTACTGTTTGTGAAACGCGCTTGCAGAAGACGAAGCCTCAAGATCTATGTAGTGCAGGTCATTGAGGTCGACACCTTTGGTTGGAAGTGTATCAGCTAGTATCAGCTAGAAGGCACGGTCTCAAACTCACACACATAAATATCATAAATATCACATAAAATTGGATATAAATTGGTGGAGTTTGACCTTGGGATACCTTGGGCCCCAACCTCCAAAGATCCACATCCGCTGCTGGGCATCTAATGCAGCGCTGTGGCCGAAGCGGACAGAGGGAGCATTGGGAGCCCAACAAAATGTCCATGTCTCGGCCTGACAACTCAGCGCAACTCAGCGCCAACAAAATCGGCACAGAATCAGCGCCACAGTAACTCTATGTAACTCCAATGCCTGGACATCAAAGTACTGCAGATCATTCAAATAACCTCGGAATCTGCAGAATCCATGGGATTCACATGGTGAACTCTAAGAGAATGCTATTGGTCACTTTGGGGCGCGCACCACTATCGCCCCAACCACCAAAGATCCACATCCGCTGCTGCTGGTCGAGGACCGCTGTGTGCTGTGATCGCTTGGAGGGAGGGTTGCTTGCGGTGACTTTTTTCCACGTCCTGGCCTGACCGCTTTGACAGCAACTGTGCCGGAAATATCGAAAGTATCGTCCCGCTTCCGAAATGAGTTGACGTCCAAGATTCCAAGATGAATGCAAGAACACACAGATGCTCACACAAAGACAAGGTTCCAAAACCACCCAGTAAATCCAATCTTACTACAAAACTACCTGGACTTGGCTCCAAATCAAGAATGCCTGGACATTGAAGTAGTGCAGGTCATTCAAATGACCTTGGAATCTGATGGCAAACACGCTGCGGCTGCTCCAAAGGCTGCACAGTGCATCTGATGAGATTTTTTGAGGTTGAGACTATTGTGCCAACCACCAAAGATCCACATCCGCTGCTGTTGGTCGAGGACCGCTGTGTGCTCTTTACGCTTGGGGGGAGCATTGCTTGCGGACACTGTTTCCCACGTCTTGGCCTGACCACTTTCTCTGCATGTGCGCCCTACACGCATGTTGACACAATAAAAAGATATAAAAAGCAAATACAGATACACAGGCAAAATCGCCAAAAAAAAAACAGATCATCTGGTCGCTGGATGGCTGTATGATTCTCCTTCGCGCTAGACCTGTCAATGCTACAAATAATGCTACAAATCGCGAAATTACACTTGGACTGGACAAAATCTCTCTCTCTCTCTCTGCTGTGGTTCCTCCACGTCAAAGCAGTGCAAGTCATCTAAGTAGAAGTAGACACCTTGGAACCAAATCACTGCTACCACAGAAGCAACGTTTCATGTGACTTGGCGCCGCTTGGGGCCAGACCGCCGTCGCCAAGAAAGGTTCCACCAAAGATCCACATACGCTGTGCATCCATGACAGCACTGTGGCCATTGCGCTTCGAAGGGCCGTTGCCAGAGTCAGTGATTTCTTCCCATATGTTGGCCTGGCTGTGGAAGCATCTTCACCAGACAAGGCGCGACAAAAAGACGAAAGCAGACGAAGGCGCCAACCATCATCTATCAGAATCTATCAAGTACTGTTGCATTCCTCACAAGCAAAGATCAAGAAAATCAAGCACAGCAGAATCGGAGAACAGATGCAAACATGGCTCACAAGCAATAAAACACATCATATCTTATCTAATTGTCATCCTCCAACATACTATCATAACTACTCTTACCAGTTTCTTTCCGGCTGGCTGACTCTTGCAAATACGGGGTGGGGCATGAAAATTAAGATGCTCCTGCAAAGGAAAAACCTTTAAATTATTGAATTTGGAGGACTGTGTTTCGGCCGTTTGACTATCGTTCCGTAGATGTGTGTTTTCAAATAGAAATCATGCCGCTCAAATGCCTTGCCGAAATTCTTGCAGTCTGGTGCATTAGCTGCTGCAGTAGGCAAGTAATTTTCGCAACGAAATCGTCACTTCCCAACATCATTACACTTGACCAAAGAATCAAAGCATCCACGGAGTCCACTCAATGAGAGATGACTTGTGCGGCTATATACGTGGCACTTCGATGGAGTCAACAAGTTACTGCTGTAAATTTGCTGAAGTTGTGCGACGATAACGCAAAGAATCTACCTTATGCTGAACAGGACCGAAAGCAACGAGAAGCAACGTGGCCCACCTACGGAAAGTACCAAATGTTACCACCATGACTCAAGCAGAAGGAACCGTCGCTTAGAGCTGCAATGAGTGCGAATTCTAGAGGAACAGCACGGCAAAGAAAATGGACAAGACTGACTCGATGATGTGAATTCATTTTGAATGATTGCGTTTCAAGACGTGTTTGTTCGGTCTCAAAAGCTCTACCATACCTGAATATCGAAGTAGTGCAAGTCATTGAAGTATTCACCTTACAATGTCCCCAGACACAAGCACTGCCCCAGCGACACAGAACACAGCGCGCTGAGTCTGCGGCCCAGATAGCCGCTGATTCCCCCAAAAACCCAAATCTGCTGCTGCGCCAGGACAGCTGTGTGGCCATACCGCTTAGGGGGAAATTTGCCCCATACAGTGCGCCATGTCTTGGCCTGGCGATGCAAAGGTCGAATGATGTTTGATCGACATATTGTCGATGAAACAGCATCCATGGGGAAACCAACCAGGACAAGTTGAATTGCAGCAACATCCAAGCATCTATTTCGTGAATAGATTTAGAACTGCGCTGAAACTCTTCTCTAGTGGCACATGTCAATTTTGACAATGCCAAATAAGTCATAAGATCAATTGCCACGTCATACATCCTCCAGCAGGATCAAAAAGAATCATTACCATCTGGTTATTTAACATAGCCATGGAAAATCACCATTTTCAATAGGTAAACCATCTATAAATGGGCCATTTTCCATGGCTATGTTAGTCATAACCAGAGGGTAATTGAAGAAGGGATGCATCGCCAATCAGAGATCCCACTGGCCCACTGACTGGAGCTTTGAATCTTCACGTGTTTCATATGGACCAAAGGCAGCCCACCTTGTGACCTCTGTCCACATTCGTGTCTCCATTGGTTCACTTTCGAACCCAATGTTCCCCAAGTTGATGCAGCAACACCCAACCATTTCTCCAGCTTGGTCAGAACACTGGGAACAGAGTTGCATGTTTCTACTGTCCAACATCACTTAAAATCAACATCAAATTTCTAATCCTGAACTTCATCGCCATTGGCCATGGCCATGTCCTACCCCGCCTGCACGTCAAAGTAATGAAGATCATTGGAGGATTGACCTCAGCGTCGGCGCGTGCAGACGCTGATGCCATGAGTCAATATCTAGACCCCAAATAGACCAAATATATTTCAACTATATTTCAACAATTTGAATATCCAAAAATCGTGAGAAAACTACAGCAAGACTCCGAAACACCAGGACACTGTCGCGGTCCCGGCCAGATCTGCCGGCGAAAACCCACATTCTCTGCTGTGCATCCATGACGGCAGCATGGTCGTAGCGCTTCAACGGGGCACCGGCAGCAGAGACTTCTGTCCACTCCTTTGCCTTCACCTGGGAGAGTGAAGAAAAGCATAGCTTTTAGCGGTGGGAAAAGTATGGAAAAGTGCTAAAACTAGGCCAAAACCATCCAAAATCCATCCAAACCCATGAGCCAGCAAGGTTGCCAGGTTGCCAAGTGAAACAAAAAGTTGTAAGTGGGTTGGAAATGGCCCAGCACAGAAAACCCCAGGGGAACAGAAGGGATTGGCGGGATTGGAAGGTTATTGGTTTTCATTTAAAAAAACTTCGACATTTACTGTAATTGCCAGCACAATCATGGTGTTCATGGAACACTCCAGTGACTCCTTGCTGTGGTCAAAGACATCCAGTCACAAGAAAACAAATTGTTTGGAAGCGAACAGCGACTTGCTGATGCGCTTGGAATGTTTGGTTTCTGCGATTACATTTTCCGAGGTTATTGCTATTGATGTTTTTCTCAGCTGCCGTCTCAATCCATCATGAAGGTTTCATGTCTTGTCGGGCCTTCAAACATTCTTCTGCGTTGTTCATCTCATCTTCTCTTTGTACCTACTGCATCCACCTTCCTATCCCGTTGCGCGTCTGTCTATTGATCTTTCTCTCCACTTACCTTCCCTCTCTGTTCATCTAGCTAGCTATCTTCGATATACTGACAGGAGCTATCTTCATCCTCCTACCTAGCTATTTATCAATGTACATATGTGTTTACAGTATCTGTTTAACTATCTCTTCGTCTATCTGTCTGCCTATCTATATATCTGCCTATCGAATTCATCTACCGACGCATCTTCGTCCATGGATCTATCTATCTATCTATCAATCAATCTATCTATCTATCGATCTATCTATCTATCTGTCTGTCTGTCTATCTATCTATCGATCTATCTATCTATCTATCTATCGATCTGTCTGTCTGTCTGTCTGTCTGCCTGTCTATCTGTCTGTCTATCTGTCTATCTGTCTGTCTGTCTGTCTGTCTGTCTGTCTGTCTATCTGTCTATCTGTCTATCTGATCTAATCTAAGCTAAACTAATCGAATCTAATCTATTGTATCTATCTGTGCAATTGTCCACCTCAATCTTTCGGCTGAAGTGAAAGTTGACAGCTACAAAAAGGAAGCTGTTGTCAAGCCTTCCTCGGAACACGGATGTTCAAAACTTGAAAACAAAGCTTTCGTGCGAGACTTCAAAACACAGCTTGCACACGAAGCTGTAAGATTTTCAGACTTATCAGTCCAGTCGCTAAAGCTGTAAAAGTGGTCGAAGCCAAAGATATGCAGCCCACCAATGTAGAAAAGCGCATTGCATTCGGAGCTGGTTTCAGCGTGCCAAATGTCGCCGAATGACGCGCATTCCAGGAAATTTCACTGGTTGGATGTGCTACTTTTGGTGGTTATTCCAATGGGTGCACCAAACTGTGACCAATTGTGGAATCACAGGTTTACTCTGGATTTTCCCTCTGCAGGTTCTTCAGGATATGTTCCAAAAAGAAGATATTGGCCCACAAAGCTCTCATATCATTGCATTCCTGCTTCCAAGTCCACGCATTGTGCATCAGTGTGCTGCATTGATGCCACCAAGCACTGAGAGCCAACGCGACAAAAATAAAAATTTCGAAACTGTGCAGAAATAAACATAGCATCACTGGCAACCTCCAAGTTCAATCAAACCAACAACTTAGAGTTAAAGCGTCAGTACGCGATAAAAATTTTCGAATAACGCAACAACGTCCTTGGATTCTGAAGTTCACCTTTGTCTGTGATGAAAGTGACACTTTGTGGTTGGTTCAGGTGATATATAGAAACAATCGGATACACCTTCTCCGGGCTATGTACAATCAATGCAACAATTGATTATTGTTCTTGGCCTAACACTCAGCATATCAATTGTACTGAAGAACCTGCAGTTTTAAGGATTTGTCAAGCAACATTGAGCAATGCTGGTTGTTTTTTCTTCCACAAAGATTTTTTTCTGAAAGGATCCAGCAGATAGAATATGACAAAAAAAAATGGTAAACAAATAGAATACTTAAATCTGGATGTAGGCATGACCAAGAGATAGAATATGGATACAAAGGATTATACAAGTATGGTATGTTAGAATGAAAAAATTATGTGAATTAGCTGAAAAACACTACAAAAATATGTTTGGTTTTTTGAAGCAGATAGATATTGAAAATATTACAAAAGCAGATAGAATAGAATATTTAAAAAAAACATAGGGGTGAAAAACAGATAGTTATGATTATGTTGTTTTTTCTCAAAATATATAATAAAAACCAGCATTGCATTGCAGAACCAACAGATAGAATATTCACATATTTGTAAACTGGTAGTGGATGGACACGCCCCAACTCTTATATCGCTAGATATGCTTCCCATCAACCATCATATGATTACGAAAACTCAAATCAAGATATGATATCATCAAATAACTCAACAAGAAGGAGGAGAGACAACAAATGGTTTTGGGCATGTCCAAGTAGATAGAAAATATAGCAGTCCAAAAGTCCAAGACAAGCAAAATAAACTTATTGATACATTGAATTACTTAAATTAAATGTATGAAGCAGTTTTATAGGGTAAGTCAAGTTTAACAATTTTTGGTGTTCATTGTTTTTTTTTGTGTTTTGAAAGTGACTTCTTACTCAAAAGAACTCTACAACGCTCACAACATATCTTACCCTCTTGTCCAGTTACATTTCCTTCCTCTAATTCCTTCTTGTAGTGTTTGTACTCGCATGATGCAAAATGATCTTGCCAACTTCTGTTCTGCTTGTTTTTCTGATACTCTGCATTTTTGCCATACAAGCCATGCAGGTTTTGCGTCCTTCCTTAAATTCATCATTTGCTTTGTCCCTTTGACACCTACAGCAGTTTTTCATTTCAGTTGCTTCTTCCAGTTCAAGTTCTTCAATGACTTTGTCAAATTCACTCATTCCCCCTTTGCTTTGGCATTCCATTTGCCATGTTCCTCAACATTTCAAACCTTTTGCATTCCTGCCTCTCTTGGGCATTTAAGGGTCTTAAGTGTTCTTTCAATTTTTCTAAATCAAAATAGGTGTCATGCTGAATGAATAGCCATTCTACTACTAATGTAAAAATAAATATATATATATATATATATGTCTTGAAATAGTTTTTAGTTTTTAGTCTGTTAAACCAAATGGAAGAAAATATTTAACTAATAGTAAATTATTGAATCATTTTTGTTTATTGTTCTCGTTTTGGCTCTTGTTGTTTGAGCCAGTTTTGACGTTGTTTCCTTTTCAGATGTTTTTTTCAGATGTTTTGATTTTGAACTGAAACAAAGAATTGTTCCACATCCACAAGTATATTTTTGTTGTTTATGTTGTTTTCTTGCCCCTTTATGTGTTTGGTCATAACTTTTAAAATACTATTTCAGTTTTTCCTTGTGTGTTTCTCTATATTCTCTATCCTTCTGTTTTTTATGCTCTTTGTTTTGTTCTTGCCATTTTTTATTTTTTGTTTCTTCGTTGTATTCCTTCTTGTACTTATGTAAATGTTCTTGGTTGTTCTGTCTCCATTCCTTGTGGTATTTATTTAGTTTTTCTTTGTTGTTTGCTCTATTTTTTCCCCATTCCTTCTTTGTCCTTCCAGCAATACATCTATTTACATATTCAGTGTTTTGAATGTAATATCCTTCTCTTGCTTCAAGTTTTTTTACTATTACAGGGGCAATTTTCAAGCCAGTAAATTTTCAATTCTCAACTCCAAACTCTTCAAACAGTTTAAAGCAAGAACACTTTTTTCTTGCCGTATTTGTTTTTGTGATGAAAATTTGCTTTGTGTCTTGATAGTCTCCTGCTCAATCCTTCAGTGGTGCTTCCGATATAGCATTTACTGAGGTCAGGACTGACAATTTTATAAATCTGCCCAAAAAAAAAATCTTAATAAACCAAACATGTAATTTCCCGCTTGCAGCCGGACATTGGGCTGAGCGGACGGACGGCAGGAAAAACCTCTTTAAGAGGGAAAAAAACCTGCCAGTGGTGATACTCTCCTTTAGGGAGCAAACCTTGACAAACATTATCCAAGGGGTAAGGAATCACTTGACGTGGGAAAAGGAACCTGCACACCCCCCCGCCAGGCGTGCAGAGACCTCGCCACAAGAAGCAAACAGCAAAGAAACTTACCCCAAGGTCAAGGGAAACAACACTGCTACCGCTACTCACTGCGAAGCAACAGCAGCAGGCGCAGCCACGAAGCATCAGCGCAGAACACACCGGCAGTGCGACTGCTCCACTGCACAGCTGCCGCGAGAAGGGATGCGTCGTCAAAAGGCACAAGGAGCGCAAACCGTACGCGTAGGGAACCTTAGACACACATGGCCATAAAGGCTGCCCCGACCTCAGTGAAGGAAGGGGCTGAAAGGCTCCACCGCTGCCTCTGTTTGAGACAAGCTCCGTGGAAGCCTCGCTGCAAATCAATGCTAATGCGTTCCTGCAGCTGTTGCCAGGTTTGTCCTGGGGGAAGATTTTCACGGGAATCAACGAGCTTAGCCAATGATTGGAGGAGTGTAGCTGTTTCCCCCCCGAAGCCACCAGTACTTTCCAGAATCATAGGTTCAAACCCCAAATTTTGCCGGGCGCATCTTTGTTGCATGTCAGCGTGGTGTCGTTTGAGGTCTGTGTACCGGTCGGCCGCTGCCAACGGGATGGAGGCTGAGGGCCGCATCACGGAGTTCTGAAAGGGGGAGGTTATGGCACAGTCCAATGCAAGTTTAGGGAACCTTCTCCATGAGGATTGTTGAATATCAGGCAACGAAATGAGCAACACATCTGCGGGTCGAGCTTGGGGTAAGTCAGGAAGGAGATTGGGGGGTTCCAGGGCAGGCCGGGCGCCGGCACGTGCCTCCAAACGGTAAACCACATTTCTGAATGAGGTGTGCATGACTTGTTTGTGCCCTTGTCCCATACAATTCATACAATGGTGACCATACGCGTCCACATGATTTTGACAGAAAGAACAAGCCCGGCCGTCCTCAAACACCCGAATTCCCAACCGCATAGAAAGGCTATCTCGAAATGCAGCGTTGGAAAGAAGAGTGTCTTGATTCCAGCTAGGAATGGCTTTCAACCAAGAATCTGCTGAAGGGGCAGCAACCGCGGTCAACCTGGCCTGTCCAACCCGATCCTGTTGTTGCACTAACCCTGAATACACATGGTGGTGAAGACGTTGCAACATGGTTTTGTGATCAATTTGAGCATGGGGGTCCTGCAAAACATTACCAAGTTCAGGTAAACAAGCAGTCAAGTGGCGCACTGCCGGTCCCTCGCAATCGTGCAAGTTGGGGGCGGGTTGGGGGCTGAACAGCTGGTGGATAGAAGGGCCACAGCGCCTGTGCGATGCCAGAAAGCCAACATCAGCCAACGAAACAACATCTAACCCAATTTCCGTGCGGGTTGAAACTAAACCTGCCCCTCCCAATTTAGTGGGCAGCTTGGCCTGGGTCCATTGATGGTTATTCAAAGGGCTTCCCAAAAATGTTTCCAGGGTTCGTTTCTGGCGGTCGTGGAAATCTTGCAGCAGTGCAGAGAGGTGGGCCCGTGGGGTGGTACGGCACCACCACTGCAGTTTCGACACAGTACCCCCACAACGAAACAGGAGTAGGCCACATGAACATGAGGCAATGTTTCCAACATGGTACAAAGGGAATCAAACTCCTGAAGTTTCTGGTGGTGAAAGTCGCGTAGAAAAGCCGGACTGTCTCCTATGGGGGCTTTCAACATCATAACATCTCCTCCAGTGACAACTTTGACGCCTAAGGCTTGGAATCGTGAAACGTCCCCCCGAAACTGGTCCCCAGCTAATAAGTACAAAGTGCATTTACTAGGATCCACGTGCAAACCATACTTGTGAGCGAGTTGAAGTTCGTGGTGGAAAGCCTCAAACACATCATCAACATTACCCCCCGAAAAGGCATCATCAGCAAACGCCGGTTCAAAGTCTGGCGGGGGCCTGGAACTAAGCCTACGCGCTTCCTCCACCATTCGCTGCCGGGTGAGGCAAAAAAGCGGTCCCATAATGGGGCAACCTTGTTGTCCCCGACTACAACGTTCAACCGTCCCTTGGTAAACCAAATTGGTGGGGCTCCCATAACAATAGGCCGCGAACCGTGCGGACGCAGGGGCGTGCTGTTGAGCATCCTGAAGAAATTCATGGGGAAGCAATTCATTGAAAGCATTCCTGATGTCTTTTTGTAAAAGGACGTAATTGTTTCGTTGTCTATTCTGGTGGATCCAATGGCGTGCAGCATGCACCATGACTTCGGCCCCGCAGGAAACCCCAACCGCAAGTTGAGTTGGTAGAAGCCT